CAAGAGACTGAACTGCCCTATTTGTAGGAGCCAATGGTGCACCATTTGAAATGTTTGCAAAAGAGTTACCAGAAGTACCAGTCACCATGGTTGACATGTGTGCACCCCTGATCAGGTTACCATTATTGACATCCAAATCGTTCAGGGAAGTGCCCAGATTATTCTGGGCATGGCCAAGGTGAAGTGGCTGCGACTGTGGAGACAGCAACCCATGCAATTCCGTATGCAGAAGGGGAGTTCATCCTTGCAACAAGGTTATAGCTTCATTCATTTGGGTTATGAAAGAGCAGTTGTTGTAGTTTTGTTGCCAGCACATGTTTGTATTGCTAAAACCTCATTTTGTTCAGCTCCTGAAGCCTGAAGTATGTGAGTTATCAAGAAGCACAATTTACATGATGCTAATCATGATAAGGTATGGTGTAGGTATTCCCAATTTGATTATAAAATTATCACAAGCATTTTACTTGGTTCATGATTTGGTACATGCCTCTCTTATCTCACTCTCTACATTGGTTGTGCGGCCATCGGCGATGGTGACCTTGACCGAACTGATGAAATTTCAGGACCATAATGCCTCCCAAATCAAGGGGTTGCTGATCAATTTCATCCACTCAGAGTGGCCATTGCTTCTCAAAGTTCCTTCTTTCTTGGTTGATTTCATTACTCCAATTATCAAGGTCTGCAACTCTCTCGGTCATTCGTCACATATATAATTTTTTGTTCTGAAGATACATGGTTATACATATTTCAGTATTAAGTTTTGTCATTCTGTTGGTTTTATAACTCCTATAAACTTTTCCTTATTTGTCCAGGCAACCAATAACTAGAGCATAGCTGTCAAGTCGTTTTATTTATTGCCAGACTATGAAGCGTGGAAAGAGCAGCTAGGAGGAAATGTAAGTTGTTCTATAAAGTTCTACAGGGTGTGTTTTTGCCATTTGCTTATTAAGTTTCGCCCTTGTTTTTCACTGGATGGTACTATCATAAAGATGACTGTACTTGTATTTGGTCTTCACTGAGTTAGTGCGCGCTTGGAGTTCCTTCAGAATCAAGACAAGAAAAGCTTTGGGTTCAGAGAAATTTTCAACACTGTTTTATTATTTCAATTTTTGCGATTTCTGACGTTCGAGTCAAGGATGTCAAGATTTCCTTGTTTTGTTATTGATGGAAAATGTATATGCTCTATTGGGAACCTTTTATTCTCTGTTTAGTCTGTACTATGTAAGTTTTCATTCTTGGTAAAGAACTAAATGATGTTTTGCTGCTACACTCTTATAATGCCTTTTCTTGAAGAAGATTATATTAATTGGTTGGTGAGCTGATCTATCTGTGATTTGTACCTCGGTTGACAGGATATCTCATATATGAAACCATGAATCAGGGATCGTTGGGTTATCTGAGCTGGTATAACTCCGGAACGACAAAGTGGTTCAGGTCTGTGGCCATGACGATCCAATACTTCAGGTGACATTGTGAACCAGGTTATCCCCATTGAGCTTGTTGACACCCTTACTATTATTTGCTGCTCTGTTTGGTTTGGAGGTACCCCCATGTTCCATGAGATAGCTTGGCTGGCTGACGCATCCATGTTTTATGTGTTTTATGTGGTGTTCGTTGTGAGACAAAGTTTGAGCCTTTGAGGTTGATCTGATCTGTAGCTATTTAGTTTGAGTACATGCATTCATAGATTTGGGTCCTCTGGAGCTTGAGTTCTTTTTGGGTGCTATTTGGGTGTGGCTTTTTGTACACATGATCACATGATCATGCCATGAGTGACTGGGGAACTACCAATGAGAGCCTTTAATTTTTTCCTTCTAATGGCTAATACTTCTCTTCTTAATGTATGTTTATTGTCCAAGATAAGGAGTGGATATCATCTACTCAGATTTAGCCCATTTGAAATTTCTAAAAAACAAGTCAGACCCTATCGACACGCTTGCTCTTCCTGGTGCATGTCTTCTTCAAAAGTGTCACAACGATCGCCAAAAGATACCGTGGAATGGACGTTTGCCTATATGGCACAGCACAAGCACGCCTCAAGCGGCACACCCAACCCCTAGTTTCATATGATAGATGACTGCTATGTCCATAGTTTAGTTTCAGACTCCCAGTGGTATGTTCGTATGAGTGAACATAGTTTCAGACTTTCAGTGATTTCATAGCACTGAACTTTCAGACTTCCATTTGCTATGTTCATAGTGTCACTTCCAGTGGTAGGTAGTAGAGGCAACACTAGTTTTGTATATTTCACCTGTTGAGTTTTAGAGCACCTGATCAGAACTCTGATGCGTGTTTCTATATCTGTGCAGGGAGAGGCAAAGAGTACAGAGCTCATTGGTAAGGCCACTCGCCAACATCCCAGCTTTCGTCGCCCTCAGACAGATTGAAGCCGCCAGGAGATCGACCTGCCTGCTTGGGCTCCAGTCGCTCAAGATCTGCAATAACAAGAAATGAGACCGTTTCCTGTCATACACGTTACGGTTACCGTTGACCGTCTCCATGGAAGAAGAGTACTTTTGAGAGGAACAAACACTTACTCCCTCCGTCCCATAATATAAGAACGTTTTTGACACTAGTGTAGTGTTAAAAACGTTCTTATATTTTGGGACACGGAGTAGTTTCTAGCATTCCTGACCCGAAAGCAACAAAGACGCCCTTTGCTACTGTGAACCGTTTGTGCGCTTTTTCAAGTGAACCCGCCAGCCACTATTGCTCTGCGTAGCTTATAATGTCTGGGCGGTTATGTGGTGATTATGCTGGCTGTTTCATGTTCATGTTGGCTTGTTCCTTTTGTGCTACGCATTTCATTGGTGCTGTGAGTTCGCTTGAGACATTGCTTACTTCGCTTCTGTTGCCATTTATTTTAGATATTTAGTTGCAAAATGGTTAATGCACAGCCCTCTTGGGTACATAGAACTGCCAGCCAGGCTGCTTCTGGCCCCTTCAAGGATTACTACAGAATGAAGATGAATCACTTTCCATCCGGCTCTTGAATGTTGCGAAGATGGCGCCAGAGCCCGCTCGTTTCATGCAAAATCAATATACTCCATTCCCTCATACAAGGCCACTTCATATTTTTATGTCAAACTTTGACCATTAATTTTACCAACAAAAAGTGAGTTATATGCCACAAAAAGTATTTCATTGGATGCACATTTGAATGAACTTTCTGATGATATATCTTTGATGACATATAATTCATATTCTATTGACCAAAATTATAAGTCAAAATTTGACACGAAAAATGAAGTGGCCTTGTATAAGGGAATGGAGGGAATATCTTATTACATAGTCACATTTTCTTTAAATAATAGTCACTGTAGGTTATGCAGTTAGAAAGTACTCTTCGTTTCTTACCCTGCAGATTTGGTTCTAGGTCTAGAAAAACATGTATGGAACATTGGAGCTACAGGTACAGAGCTTTTCATATTTACTACACTCCTCGCAAGATAAAATAAAGATAATTAAACAACCGTAAATGTTTAACATGGCAATTTTTATTTTGTAGATCATACGACCTTTTTTATATCACACTCATTGTAATTTTATAAAATTAGAGAGATGACAGTTTTTATAAAGTAGCATGGCGTTTTTTCATAAATTAGATCATGACAATTTATTTGAGGGTCTTCATTTGTGTTACTTGCATTTTTTTCAAAAGAAAAAACTAAATGGGCCTCTGGGCCAACAAGAGGCCGCGCTAGAGAGAACCATCTGAAACGACGTTTGCCGATAGTGTTCCTAGCTAAACGACATTTGGAAGGCCTCCTAGCTAAACAACATTTGGAAGGCCTCCTAGCTAAACAACTGGGTCCTTAGGGTTCCCTCAAAAAAAAAAAACTGGGTCCTTAGGGTCCTTAGGGTCCTAAAACAAGAGTCCTTAGATTTGGGGGTCCTCCTCAACCCGGCACACCTACGCGCCGCTGTTTCATCCAGCGACCTCCTCCCTCCTTGCCCATAAGACGCAATTCCAATGTCACGACTGACTGGCAGTAGCCACTTACCAGCGACACTACACTACCGCACGTGCCAGCTGAACGCCACTAGTAAGCACATTCACACGCCGCTAATTAGGGGATTCTATACTAGTGCTTGTCATTGTTCGTCACCACCACCGATTTGGTCAGGGATGGGGGCTTGACACATCACCGTCGACAGAAATCCTCGTGTGTTCGGCTCTTGAATGTTGCAAAGATGGCACCAGAGCCCAAACACACTTGGCCACGCTACACTCAATCATTTTGGTCTTCTTGAATCTTTGATTTTAACAATTTCATGGTCGTCAATCATGCTCTCTCATTTCTCTCCATAGGCTCACACATCGCCCATCCCCCACAATCGTATCCCTGAACAAAGCCTTCATCCACTCATTTTTGTCTTCGTGCAGGCTCTCGTCTTTTCCCTCTTTCTCGCCACCATTTTGTCAGGCACTTGCTGCCGCAATGACAACAACGATGCCTCTAAAATATCATCCATGTTGCATACACAGAGGAACAACATGTGGACGCACGAAATATACTATTCAAGGTTAACCATTTTATTTTATTTTGGTCGGAGTGTGCCTGTTCCAACACATAATAACCATCCATGTGGCAAGCTACATAAATAGGTTCTCCCCATAAATAAATAAATTATCATGTGTGGATTCAAAGATCCACGTATCAGATATTAAACTGATAAGAACAGATACTGCACTTGATCTTAGTCGAAGGCCGAGGAAGGTATGCTTTAATTGGTGACCCTGCGTCCACTTTTATTGCTCCCTGAACCGCCTCTCCCCAGGTGCAAAAGCAATATTGGACTATTCCAACAATATGGGAGTATTCGCTAGAAAAACAAAAGGCTGCGCTGGTCCAACCAGCGATGCGGGCCGGGTGGGCCAGCCTCGCTGGGCTGGTCCTCGTTTTGGGATCGGGAACCTACGCAACGGCCCAATTCCCCTATGCCAAAAGACACAGTCGCATTGGCCGAAAGCCGCCGCCGCGGACGCGGCGGACCCGATGGCCGGAAGCCGCCGCCGCCGCCGCCGCGGAAGAGCGCGGCTGCCGCAGCAGGGTGCCGAACCCTCGCCGCAGGCAGAGACCGCTCTCAGCTCCACGTCTGCACCCTCACCCCAACCGTAACCTCGCTCGTCTCTCCTTTCCCCCTCTTTTATCTTTCACACATCTTCGTTAGTTAGGGTTTAATTAAAGTAGAATCGGGAGAGGCAGTAATCTTGCCCTAGCGAATCCGTAGTGAAATTTACAGTATTTTGGCGAATTGGTAGGAACATCTTGATGATTTGACAGGTGATATTTACGGCATTTTTGTGAATTAGTGGTGGTATAATTGACTCACTGGCCTCCCCTAAACTTGGATCGCCACCACTGTCTACAAGGTGTGCCACTCGGTTCAGTTGTTGATAACTCCATTGTCTCTGATGAGGGAAATAGTTTCAGTTTTCCTTAATTGCAATGTAGATGAGTATTACAGTTGCTGCCTTGAACTGTGCTCACTTGGTTCAGTGATTGCCTGAAACTCAGAGTCCAATGTGATTTGATCGATTCTTTTACTGTGACTGTTATTGGGAAGGAGTAAATTAAAATTTCTTATCAAAGCTGTCCGCGTAAACATCAGAGGGATTATCACCATTTTTTTTGTTTGTAAAATGTATATTGGTCACCTGATGTGATTCAGTTTAGTGCGTGGTTGGGTTGGATCCAGAGTAGAATCAGCAAGGAGCGTCTCCCATTATATCACTTGATATGATTAAGAGTGTTGCACGCTTGGGTTGGATAATGTATATGGCCTCTTGTTCGTTTGGTCTTTCTCATGGTCATGGTGCTGCCATGAACAATGTTTACTTCTGTTTGATGACCAAGTGAAAAATAGATAAGCAAATGATCGCTATGCAAGTTTTCTAGAAGAAGGGGAGCATGCTATTCCGCTTTTACATCAAGCAAAATCATCACTTAGAACTATTTATTTCAAGGATACTCTACAAGGCACCCCACCTGTCACGATATGAAAGTTATATAATTGTATATAGCGTTGTCTCACTGAAGATATTATAGCTAGAGTATGTTATCTTAGAAAAAAAGTCAAGGTGTAGGTGGTTCTAGAGTAGTTTCTTTTGATAGAAGTTTGACATGTCTCGGTTGACACTCATGTTTGCCTTATTGTTCAGCTAAAGCCTGCTGCATTTCTTGTACTGTATTAACTCCTGAAGTATTTATTCACTCCAATTATGTTTCAGTTCTTTATTTTGATCCATTATTCTTGAATTTCTATGCAGCAGAGAAGTTACCACTGTGGAGAGAACCTCGAAGAACGCCTGCCCTGCTTCAGCCTCTACCTCCTTGCCTTTGTCTGGCCCTCATGTTTGTGCAGATCTCCTGGACAGCCTGCTTCAAGAAATTCTGCTTCATGAAATTATTGCTCTGTTTGACTCATTCCATGACTTCCTTGCATTCATTGGCACCTACCGCTCTTGGCGCGCTGCAGTCTCTACCTTTCCCTCTGTGCATACATTCAGCTTCCCGCCGCTCCACTTCAAACCAGATGGTCCTTATGTTCATCCACATAGCGGCCCTATCAAGCCCATCCTTTTATCTGATTGCAAATGGCAGCTCAGTGATCCTAGCAAGAAAAACTCATCTCTTGCGTGTTCAGTGCCTAAAAATAGTCCAAATAAAATGCACTATTTGGGCTGCTCGTATGGGTATCTTATCTTCTCCTACAAGGTTCACTGCCTCCTTGTCGATGTGTACACTGGTAGCAAGGTGATGCCCCCCAAACTCCCACGTAACAGTGATCTTGGGTACTTTTGTGGCATAGGCATCCTTACGGCCCCATCGATTTCACCCAACTCTCGCCTCCTCCTTTTCTCAAGAGATTCCATGTTTGAGTGGCAGGTTGGAACAAACTCCTGGTCAGAGCACACCCTTACTCTTGATAATGAACGCATCTATCAGATTGTGTTCTTCAAAGATGATATCTTTGTCGTAGATGCTGTTCTCAGGCTCCACACTATACACCTCACACCTCAGTTCAGCATGCAAGAAATAGCAATTAAAAAGGAGTTTGTGCCTATGAACTCATGGTTGGTGGTCTGTGGTGACATGCTTCTCTTGATTGACCAAAGGTTCAGCTCTGGCGGATTGGGTGGCTCATCTAACACGATCTTTAGGGTCTCTCGCCTCAACTTCTCTGTCGAGCCAGCTAAGTGGGTGAAGTTGGAGAAGCTGGATAATTATGCTCTGTTTGTTAGCCCTGACAGAAGGAATCCTACATTTTGTTGCATGAGCCCGGAAAGTTGGGGAGGAAAGAGTAACTACATTTATTTTGCGAGGCTAACTGAAGATCCCGATGAAACTTGGACCGCGGTCGAGTTTGGTCAGCCAGTGCCAGACAGTGCAGTTCGCGCCATGCTCTTCTATGATATGTCGTCCCCTCCAGACTGTGGTGTACTAAGTAGCCTCTGGGTGTTCCCCAGTTTAGTTTATGGTTCTGGCTAGTAATTCTTTCTAGTTTGCAACTAGTTCTGTAGCTGTAATGGTTTTCTGACTTTGGGACCTGTCCAAGTATGATTAATCTGTATGGGATTGCATCTGTCATCTGGTTGCGCTGGTAGATGCAGCAGTAGAATGGTCACATGTGTTTCAACCATCTGCTGTTAAATGAGACATATGTACTGTCAAATGTAACCTGGGTACTATTGTGGACAAACTTGTGGTGTATTCAACTGTACCTCTCTTAAAAACGGCACCTTGGATCATTCATGTGCTTTTCATTGTTTGCGGGATTGGATCATTCATTGTTGAACTGAATGAATGTACTGATTATGGTGATTTTCTTGCCATTTTTAGTTCATAATGTGGTGATGGAACAGGAGAAACCTTGTCTGTTTACTCTGCAAATGACGTCTTGCGCTTTCCTCTGTGATCAAATCATAGGAATGCACTGTCCTCTCCTCCAGTTTGTTATCTCTAGCCTAAGACTACTCTTGGCAGGATGATCTGCAGCCTGCATTTACAAGATGGCTGCATTTCAGCAGCTAAATTAATGTGTCTTTTGGCTGAACTTTAAGCCTAGATAGAGGCAGCAAAACAGTTTTGCCCCTCAACTTTAAACCTGGATGTATAGAATCCAACGGTCTTAGAGATCCTGCCAACTCATAAACACACATTCAGGATGCCATTGGAGAACTGACCAACTACTTTTCAGGAACATAAACTCTACCAGAAATGTTTCTATGATGGAGAACAACACAGCTGTGCACGCTGAGGTTACATACAACCAAACTACTGTAGGCCATCTCCTCTAAGTCCATTCGCATACTCAGCATGATCAAACATCACATCACAGTTTACATCATCTAAGCAAACAAAAAGGCAGAAATATGCTGAGCAGGGCACATACAGAAGAGTCAGGTAGGCTTATTTGCAATTCTCAATAGAAAAGAAAAAGAATACATTATTTGCTGGTACATAACAGCTCCAGAATTGATGCAACTGTTTGACTAACATACACTGCCTCCGTTCCAAATTACTCGTCGCAGAAATTGATGTATCTAGAAGTAAAATACATGTAGATACATCCATACCTGCGACAAGTAATTCAGAACGGAGGGAGTAGAACGTTACATAAGGCTCATCCCCAAGGGAAACGATCATTCATGGAAAATCACCCGGGGTGAGGATTTGCCATCTGTGATTCGCCTCGACACCAGTTCTTGCTCATCCTCACTCTTTGGAAAGGAAGACTCTGTTGAACAACACGACTTGGTCTCAAGGGCATCGCAGTACTTGCATTGCTCAGCTCCTTTGAGAAGTATCGCCTGCAAGTTGGGAGCTCGGTCCAGCAAGGCTCTTATAAACGCAAACTGCTGTTCTAGCGATCTAAAGCCGACAAACTGGAGCTCTTTCAGTAGCCCGTTCTTGGAGCAATGGAAGTCCATCTCCCACTGAGGATTTTTCCTTTCTGCAAATACCGACCTTCTTTCCTCATCGTTCACAAATGCGCTGCATGCATGGTCCCATGCCTATATTTGCATGAACAATATGTTACGGATGTAGCTGGATTACAGTATTAAAAAACACTTCTCTTATTATGTATTGAGCAACAACATGCATTTTTTGCTGCGTGTTCGAGGAAAGAAAAAGGAAGGCAAAGGAAGGGACACCTCACTTCAATTTTTACAAAGATGGAAGGTAGAAATGTGTACATAAATTTTGAAAAGGAGAAAAGCTTACAAAACATTAAAATGAAAGGGAAACAACAAAACTGGAATGGTAGACTGAAACAGCATTACCTCAATAATTAATATTTCCAAGGAGGGTGCCGCCTCAAGGAAGGCTGTTGTCCATATAATGTCAAATTCAACAAAGATACCACGCAAAGTCAGCTTCCTTAGCTTGTTGAATGCGGTGTAGAGTTGCTTCATTTCAGGTTGGATCCAAAGCTGATCACAAAATTAAAAGAAAATAAGAACAAAGCAGTTCATAAGCATCTATAAGAAACAGTTTAAAAGCATAGAGATGTATGTTATCAAATTATTTACAGGTATGTGTGTTCTCCATCATGTAAAATACACATCCATGGCATAACTAGATAGCTCTGACCATATATAGAAAATACAAATGTGTGACAGTATAGCGAATACAAAAAATGAACTAGTACGTACGTTTTCTCCTTGGAAATCCAATGTCAGAGTATGTATGCTTGTGGTTCCATGTAGAAGCTCACTTAATTTAAATACTGTATTATAATATGTTAAAGCAGATGAGAGTTTTAGTTCCCCAAGAGACGGGACATCGCCAAACGACAAGGGGATATATTCGGACACCCAAGTATCCCAATGGAGCTTCTCCAGTTCTGGAAGGCAGACCAAATCAATTCTCTCAAAGCAACATGTGTCGATTTGCAGAACACTGAGTTTTGAGTTTGGTGCATCTATCTTCCACACAGAGCGGCGACCGGCATCACAATAATGGAGGCTTAGATGCTTCAGTTGTGTGCAGCAGTCAAACAGGAGATGGTGCATATCCAACTCGATAAAACAAACCCCATGAAGAGAAAGTCTTGTGAGACAACAGAACACACTGGGGTAGGCATTGAAGAAACCATACATGTCTTTGGCGAGCTGTAGCATGTGCAGCTCAGAAGAGTCACCAGGTTTCAGATCATCAAGAAGGCAAAGGTCCAAATCTTTCAGCAAAGCACTGTCAATCGCATCACCTAATAGTGGGCCAATGTCGCTCAAGAAAGTGCTGATCAAGTAGAGCTGAAGCTGCAGTGTTGTGATGGTGGATTTTCTCTGAGGTTTAGCAAATAAACACTTGGCTGCTTTGGTTAGAGCCACCATAGCTTGCTGACAGTCATTTGCCGCAATCGAGTATGGGCATGGAACAGGTAGGAAATGCCTGACATCAATGCTGAGCTCAGGCAGCAGCCAGGGCAGCTGCCTCCACCGTGTTGACAGCAAACTCGTCCTTACAGCAGAGCTTATGTCGACTTTCCGCAAGATAGACAGTAAAACATCATCCATCAGCACGCTCAACCTATCTTCCTCCTCTGGCTGCTGCATACAGAAATATGGATCCAGTTACTTTGTCACTATCAGTTAACAAAATTCAGAGACTCGAAACAATTATAGCGTACAAACAAACAGTAGTCCCAAGCCATAAAAATAAAATGACAGGAGCTAGGAATGTGTAGCTACCGCGAGACCCAAACTAGCACAAAGTCATCCCAAAGCACACAAAATCATGAATTTCCACCACATTTGACTGAGCACCCCAAAAATCTCACTAATCCCAGTTAGTGTCAATCCCCTTCCAATACACCAGACCCGCAGCCCCCTAACAACTTGATGCCGCCCTAGTTGGGGGTCGAGGAGAATGCGGCGGACAATGCGACGCCGGCCGAAACAAGTACTACACCAAATCCTTCAGGAGTCTGTTCTGTTAATAAGGGTTGATATCAACCCTGCTTTCTGTAATTACCCTGGTCATCAATGAAGAACTACTACACTGTTTCGATTATAAACCGGTTGTTTTCTAAACGGCGTCCACCGAATCGCTGCATAAATCGAGAGTATAGTACTCCCTCGGTTCCAAATTACTTGTCGCAAGTATGGATGTATCTAGATGTATTTTAGTTCTAGATACATCCATTTCTGCGACAAGTAATTTGGGACGGAGGGAGTAGAAGAAGAACGGCGACAGGATCAGGGCGATTCTCACCGTCGCTTTCTTGGCCACGGGGGACTCCATCCCCTCGGTTCCTCACGGAGTGGCGGCCCTTCCCGACGCGGCTGTTGCGCTCGATCTCGCCGCTGTAGGCGGCTCACACCAGCCCGGTGCGGCGCCGGCCTACCCCACAACCCTCGATTTGGTAGGCGGCGGCCCTCTTCCGGCGGCGCTCGATGCGGAGGTTACAGGAAGAAAATCTCGATCTGGACAAATTACCGGCGAGGTCCCAGATTTAGGGCCCGTTCTGGTCCCCCGCTACATAGGCCTGCCGCCCAGCCCAGCACCGCCCAGATGTAGCGGGGACTAGATGGAGGGGCTCCTAGTTGGCGCTTCAGGCGCCAGCTAAGGCAGCTGGCGCTCACAGCCGCCGAATCGTGGGCCGGCCCATGTGGCGACCACGCCCGTCGCTCGCTAAACTCGCCCGCCTGCTCCCTCGCTGGATCGAGAGCCTCGAGGGCTGTTCATACGGTCGCTGTTGACCAGTTGACTGACTGGTCAACTGTTGACTTTAGAAAAAAAATGAAAACTTAAAAAAATCACAAAAAAGAAAAAAAATCGACATTTCAAAAAAGTTCACAGATTTGGAAACCTTCATCCTTTTTTTAAATCATCAAATTTGTAAAAAAGGTCACAAAAATTAAAAAAAGTTCATCCATTTTGAAAAACAGTTCATCGATTTTGAAAAAGAGTTCATCCATTTTCAAAAAGTTCATCGATTCTGAAAAAAGTTCATCGATTTTGAAAAACAATTCATCCATTTTTTTAAAAATTCATGAATTGTGAAAAGAGTTCATCGGTTTTGAAAAAAGAGTTCATCAATTTAGAAAAAAAGTTCTTTGATTTAGAAAAAAGTTCATCGATCTTGAAAAAAAGTTCATCGGTTTTGAAAAAGAGTTCATCAATATAGAAAAAGACTTCATCGATTTAGAAAAAGTTCATCGATCTTGAAGAAGAGTTCATCGATTGTGAAAGAAAGTTCACTGATTTTGAAAAAGAGTTCGACGATTTTCAAAAATAGTTCTTTCAAATTAGCAAAAGGAATATAAAACGTTCCGAAAAGAAGAACAAAAAACATAACAAAACCGTTTCGAATAAAAAGGAAAAATAATTAGGAAAAAAGAATCGTTGTAAGAAGAAAAGGTGAAGAAGCAGTAGTTTATAGGCAACTAATACGAGTTAGTGCGGTGGTTAATGCATGAGATGAATGACCGTGAGGTCGCAGGATCGAATCCCAACTGAAGCGCGCCTTTTTTGCAAGGGAAGGAAAAGATGGGCCAGGCCCAGTTAACGCGGCTGCAGGCGCCGGTTTTGCGGAAACAGCTAAAACCGGCGCCTGCAGCGCTAAATAGGAAATGTCCCTACTCGGCGCCTTCAGCGTCGCCGAAGGCAGCTCCTGGTGGGCCGGCCCATGACCGCGCATGAAGAAAAAAAATGTATTATTGTGCAAAAACCATATACTCCTATAAAGGTGGCTCTTGGTGAATTGAACTCGCGACTTCATAGTTGTTTTGAGTTTAGCTATCCTGTACACATACTGGCTACTAGTGATTCACTTCAGCGCGACTTTATTTAAGAACTAGCGTAGCAGCGCTACTTATCTAGCTTAGTTTTTTGAATTATTTGAAAACATTGCTGAAAAACGTGAATGTATGGAAAATATGTAAAAAAAGTTGCAAAGTTGATGAACATGCATAAAAAAGTTGGCCAATGTAAAAAAGGTTCATGTATTCAAATAAGTTCATGAATTCAAAAACAAAAGTTCATGAAAGGGAAAAAAGTGCACAATTTTTTTAAATAGTTCACAACAATGAAAAACGACCACGAGTTCAAAAAAAGTTCATTGAATTTGAAAAAAAGTCCACTAAATATGAAAAAGTTCATCGAATTTGAAAAAAAGTGCACTAAATTTGGAAAAAGTTCATCGAATTTAAAAATAGTTCATCAACTATTCAAGAAAGTTCATCGGATTTGAAAAAGACTTCAGCAAATTTGAAAAAAATTCTTCATCCAATTTGAAAAAAATTCTTCATCCAATTTGAAAAAAAGTTCACTTAATTTGGAAAAGCCTCATCGAACTTAAAAAAAGTTCATCAACTTTTCAAAAAAGTTCAACGGATTTGAAAAAGAGTTCATCAAATTTGCAAATTCTTCATCAAATTTGAAAAAATGTTCACTTGATTTGAGAAAAAGTTCATTGATTGTGATAAAAGTTCATTGAATTTGAAAATAGTTCTTCAAATTTGGAAAAAAAGTTTATCGAATTTAAAAAAGTTCATCAAATTTGAAGAAATTTCATCAAAATTGAAAAAATGTTCATCGTATTAAAAAACATCATTCGTTAGAAATTGTTCACTAGAAATAAAAAAAATTCATTGATTTTGAAAACAAAAGTTCATCAAATTTGACACAAAAAACACCATCGATTTGGAATAGTTCGCGCATTTAAGAAAACAAAAAAAATAAAAAAAAGCAATTAGGGAATAAACCAGGAAGATGAAGAAAGAAAAAATAGAAAACAAAAATGGAAAAAAGGAAAACGAAAATAAGAAAGAAAAGCAAAAAAATAAAACAAAAGAGAAGCACAGAATGAAAGGAATAAAGAGTTTTTTTGACAATAAAAGGAATAAAGAGTTGAAGCTTAGCAATGTTTTCATGGTGGTGGTTGTACGAACGAAGCTGCAAGTGTGAGGTCATCGGTTCGATTCTCGTTGAGCTCGCCCATTTTTCTGCATATGAAAATACACAGTAATGGGCTGGCCCAGCGCAGGGCGCTGCAGGCGCCTGTTTGTAAATTTGCTTATAATGGACGCCTGCAGCGCTAAATAGGAATAAAATTATTACGAGGCACTGGGGTCTTCACATTTTTCACATGTACATATTCTTTGAAGTACTTCCTCCATTCTAAAATAAAAGTCTCAATTTTTTATTGTAAAATAATAATTTTCATTTATTATTCATATATACTTTGTAATTATTATTTTTTGTAAAAATATCAGATCTATTATAAAAATTTGTTGGAAGTACAAAGCATCCAAAACATAATAAAAATTACATCGAGGTCCATAGACAACTGAACGGCCGTTGCCGCCGCCAGAACAAGCTGCCGACGCACCGCTGTCGCCGCTCCGATACCGGAGCCAGTTTGACCTTGTCGATGACAGCCTAAAAGTCTTCATGCACGTGCCCCTAAGAACCAGTGTTCGGGAGCTGCAGTCGTCGCCACTGAATCCTTAAATCAATATGAAGAATCTAACACCAAATCTCGCCGTTGCTTATGCACGATGAGAAACCCTAACCTCGTCGCTCCGAGGAGCTGGCATGAATCTATGTCAGAGCTCCGTCTAATCCGTCCCGACAAATGAACTTGAGGAAGATTGGAGCCCGGATGACTGACTCGAAGAAAGAAGCGCCGCCATCCGTCCGGAGCGGCAGGTGGAGGGGAGGCGAATCCGCGGACTCGCGACGAGATCGAAGGGAAAAAGACTTTCCCTAGTGGCCTTGTGAGAGCGGGAAAAAACTTCAAACAGGCATGCTACGACATAGAGATACTTTGTAATTACTTATTCTTTCTTATTACCCGGGTAAAGCTATTGTAAAAATAATATTTTGCATTTTTTATTATCTGCATGAATATGACATCCTATAAATCTAAATAGTTTATCCCCATTACTTTTATTATCTTAACATGCACGCATGCCACATCATCAAAGGTCCATTATAATATGCATGCAAATTATTTTTCATTATTAATTGATCACCACTAATTCTGTTTAGGTTAACAAGCACACATGTCACCTCATCAAAGGCTCACCCAGCATGCATGGGAAAAAAATTCCATTATATTATAATGCTTATATTAAATAAATATTTTTTAACTACACAATAATCCAATACAATATATAACTGTTTCAAACAACCAATTTTTCAAACAACCAATTTTTATTGAAATATATTGCAACAAATTTTCGCCGTAACCCGCAGGGTATCATCTAATTTGCTTGAAAAGGGGAAAACAAAAGGTAGTAGAGTCCTAACATCAAGCTGCGTGTGCCAGGGCAAAAACTCAGGTACCGTTCAGGTACCACGGCAAAAACTTTCATACAATTTGCTTCACAAACACATCGATGGTCAAGCCGGGTGTGCTGCTCTAGCCTATATTCTTCGACGATCAATGTTCGATTCTCCTTTTAAATGGGGTGTCCTGTAATGCTCACGATTAAGCTCTTGGTTCCACGGGAATTTTTAGCCCAAAAAAATATTTGTACTCGTTGCACTATATTGTATCGGTATATCAAAGGATCCGGTCCATTATCAAAAAAGGCTTTCGCCCCGCTTTATATATAAAGCATCAAACCACAAGCATCCAGTACAACCACACGCCACGCCACCGCAACACACGCACACATCCAAGACAGGATATATAGGCGCTGAGCGCAGCAACACCACTCTTAGCACTACCGCTCCGAAGAATGAAGCTACATATGACGAACCATGCGCTCCAAGGCGGCACCTTCAGGAATGATACGACGCTAGGGCGCCGCCATCGCCCGATCCAAGAATCAGAGTTTCCCCCAGAGCCGCATGACGAGCAATGAAAGCCGCGATGACGCCTTCAAGAAGGAAACGATCTTCGCCGCCGCCGGTCCGTCCGAAGATAGAGCAGGTTTTCACCTCGGCCAACAATCACTGCCACCGAACGCCACACCCCGGCAACCACGCCGCCCACACGACCATGGTGACCGGGCAGCACCAAGGCATGGACTTTGTCCAAGAGCACCGCGCAACCACCACCACCAGGGCCGCCGCCCCAGCATCCAAGACCATGACACCACCTCACCTGTGATCCGCCGCACCCCAACGAAAGAGACGAGCGGAAAGGTCCCACCTTTCGCGCCCCTGGGCGACCCCCAGCATCGAGACCCAATAGGTCGGCCAGAACTGGCATCCACCGACCCATCCTGCTGCCCCAAGCGCAAGCTGAGCTCGGTCTTGCAGCAACGAGAGGGGGACGAGGTCAGTCC